AGACTACTGCTGAAGAGCAGAGCAGGGGTAGGAGTAATATACTTTTCCAGGACTGGGCATGCTGCCCTGCAGCTATCTCTGCAGCTACTGTAAGGCACAAGGGCCTCCAAGGAGGGCTTTTGGTCCTCTGCTTATAAGGGAGGAAATGGAGCTCACCTCCTCTTGCTATTCTGCCTGTGATGAATCATGTTCTGTCCCTTGCCTCCTGTGTGTGGAGGCAGAGGTTTTTAGGGTCTCTGTGTTGGTCACTCTGAGACTGCAGTGGAGGTACCATCTCTGAGTACTTGCTGGTCCCCAGTTGCTTAGTGATATTTCTGGATGTGGCCCCAGTTCTGGAATAGAGGAGTAGGAGGTGGCTGCTGGCAGGCCTCTCTGTGCTGGAGGGGTCTGAGAGCAGAAGAAGAAATCCACTGCCCTAAAACCACGTATGATCCAAGGGGTAAGGCTGGTGACAGAGACCCATTCCCAGGGCAGTGCTGAAGGTATTTGGCAGGGGGATATGAAGGGCCTCAACACTGTGAAAGAACAAAGACCAGTACGAGCTCTCCTGAGCTCTGCCCCCATGCAGAAAACCAGCAAGTAGACACCCAACCAAACAGCTCTGCAGTGACCTGGCATGCATTTTCCTTACCTGAGTCAAGTTTCCAGAAATCTCGTGGTCACTGTAAATGGTTCATGTCATACCTGGCAGGCTTGTGAGATGCAAAGGGCTCCAGAGATGTCGTTTTCCCGAAGGACATTTCCCTGTAAAATAGTTATCTTTTAGTAACTGTGACTGAGAGTACGTGGGATGTTTAGTCATTGCCTATTTAATAACCCTGTGATGGAAATCTCAGTGAGGAGAGTCCTGTGTCCCCCAGCTCCAATGGGACAGGCATCTTAGCAGATGTCTGCAAATAGCTCCATACCGTGATGGGATGTAGAGCCCCTCCAGGGAGGCTGGCTGTTCCTGCCCAGCTTCCTCAACTTGGAAGGACATGTGCCAGGGAGCCCAAGCACAGCCTATCTTGTCAGAACAGAGCAAGCTAGAAAACAATTCCTGCAGTAGCTGGAAGAACAGCTTCACTGTAAGTGCCTTTCCAATAAAGAAGGTTGCCATCTAGCAGAGGTGAGTAGGAAAGATGGGCTTACAGATCTCCACTTCTGGCATCAAGTATATGCTGCATGTGCCTGGGGGAAGGTGGGCAGAAGGAAGGAAAGGCTGTAGCTCTCTTAAGTAATCCATAGCTGATCCAAGTATCCTGTGGCATCAAAACAGGAGAACTTTCAGGGTGAGGTTCATCCCCCTGCTACATGACCAGATGGAAGGAGAGAACCTGTAGGCAAGCACAATGTAGGCTCCTCCATGAGCCACCCCTGGCTCTGGTGGGCTCCAAACACACAATAAACACTGAGGAAAACTCTGAGGTCAGCAAGGAGACCATTGCAGGAGCACTGAGGCAGCAAGCAAGAGGGACTATGAGATGCCTGGGCCCAGAGCCACCCCAGCTTGAAGGACTTGGCACCTCCCTGCCTCAGCTGGGAGAGCACAGGCAGGCAGCAGAACAAGCTCTTCTCCTTGCTGACCCATGTATTCCTCAGGAGATCCTTGGCTGCAAGGCTGAAGCGTGAGGCAGGCAGAACTGATTGCCATAAGCCTGGCAGTAATATGTCCAGCTTTCTCAAGCACTGTGCTTCATTTCCTTTACTTTGAGCCAGGAAAGCTCCCCAGGGGATGGTCTCCCACTAGCCCAACACTTAACCAGCTTCTGCTCTGGCAGCTGTTGTTTTAGATCTTCCCATCTCTTCCTGCAGCTGACTATCTGCAGGCTGCCAGCTGTGGACTCTGGGGCCTCAACTGCTCCAGGGTACTCATAATGGAAACTTCCCCTGCTTGCTCTTTCTCTTTTTAAATGAACAGTGAATTATGGCAGCAGCTGTGTGCCCATCCAACTGAGAGATCTGACTGTGCCAGTCCTGTGTTGCAGTTTCCACAACTCCTGAGTCCTAACATGGCTACATGCTGCTCACTCCTGCATTGCCATTCTGGGTGGTAGCCCTGGCTCTTGCAAACCAGCCCTGGTGGTCTGGAGAGCATCAGACATGCTGGACACAGCTGTACAGACAGCTCACAGCAGAACTAAAGGTTTCCACGCGTGCCTTGGGAGGTCTGGCCTCTAGCACCCATGGCTGACAGGGAAGACCCCAGCTTCTTGTCTCACAGGGGGCATGGTCTGAGGAGCTACTGGAACTTCAGTCACACACAGGGAGAACCAGACCCAAAGCTAAGGGACTGTTCAGAGAGGAACTTCTTCCAGAGGACTCCATATAACAAGGGGGTGTCCCTTGCAACCCTTCCTACAGCAAAGTCCACCTCCATGCTGTGCTCAGTGCCCTTTCATCCAGCACTGTTAGAGTTTGCTTTGGGCATGCTAAGGGTTATTGTCTTGAGGGCACTCACCAGCTTTTACAGCTATCTTAAAGTGCTGCACCCCTCCCAGAGCATTGTCTTCAATCTGCCTGAGGTGGGGTAGTTACACGTAGAGAAAGCAAGCTGGAGGTTTTAGAAGCAATTTAGCTGCTGCTTCCTCATCCTCTAATATAAAATTTCCCTTGCTAGGCTGAGCATTCCACCCAATGATTCAGTTTAGGATAGGGCAGTGAAAGAAAAAAGAAAGCCAAGACGGTATCTCAGAGGAGCATGAGTTTGGGATGTCCTGCTCCAGAACATGTTGCTCTTCCGCACTACCTGTAGGCAGATGAGCTCTACTGGGCTGATGTCCCAGCAGGGCTTTGCGAAGACTTTGTTCTGGATAGATGAGATCATGGCGCAATAAGGCAGCACATCTGTTCCCTGCACTGCCTATGAAGTGCTGGCTCATGAGTGCTCTGTGGCTGGGATCCATTACCTTGTGTGTGAGAGCAACAAACAGCAAGTAACCAGCTTGGGAATGAACCAGACCCATGGGTTTGTCAGTATTGCCAGATGTGTAGAGAAGGAACAACATGACCTCATTGTCCATGAGAGCAGGCTCTCCTTCATCATCTTGCAGGAGAGAGCACAGCAGTTCTCTCTCGGGGTCTCACAGGCTTCCCTGTGTTGTCCCTACTCCTGCTTGCACACCTCTCTCCTGGAATTGAGCTCCTGTGCCACCCGCCCCCCCCCCCCCCCCCCCAATACTATCTACCTGGTCTCTGCACCTCCACTCCCCCTGCTCACAAGCCTGAACTCTCTTTAGCCTTGCTGAGCTGGCAAACACCCTGCTGAGCCGGAGCAGACGTGCTGAGTAAGAGGCAGCTATTTTTACACTGCTCTGACCAGCACAGAAGTATTCCAGGAAACCTTTCTAGTACTAATTGCTTGCAGATGGGATGAGCAGAGGTGGGGAGACCTCTGTGCAGCTGCAGGGAGCTAGTAGAAACACACAGAAGGGGCTCACCTCTTCATGAACAGTCTTTGTGCTGGCAGCCTGGCCATGCTGTGTGCCACAAATAACGGGCACAAGAGCAACCTCGCTGCCTGCTTCCCTCAGACACAGGCTGCCAGTGGTGCTCACAGAGGGTGTCAGGCCTGCTGGCAGAGCTGTGTGTGACAGTGCAGGGGCAGTCCAAGCCTGGGCTCACTGTATGTTATGGCTGGGTAAAGGTGACAGGTTCACGTATGTAGGCAATGAGGGGCCCGTGGCTCCAGGCTTGGGCAGATGCTGACCCAGGGGGTTATCTGCGAGCCTGAGGAAGGATTTTGTGGCAGCAAGCCCTGACCAGCAGCCTGGCCATCATCGCAGGGCACCTGCCTCTCACTGAGGAGATGTGGCCTGGAGCCCTTGCTCGGAACACCCACCCAGGCAACACAGTCCCCTGTGGGAGCTGGGGCTACGCTGCCCTGGGCTGACTGCACACAAAGCTCAGATGCTCCTTCTCCCCTGCCTTCCTCACCTCCTCTTTTCCAGAGTACTATAGGGAAAAATAAATGGAATTCCTTTCAGGGAGGGGAAAGAGGTGGGCCATAGAAATACTCGACTGAAAATAACCTTCATGCTAATCTGAGTCCTGACAGCTGCTCCTGAATGGGAGTCAGCTTCAGTGAGTGCCTGGGCCAGGCTATATCAGCCTGATCCCACTCTTCCAGATCTGCACTGCATCCTCAGATGCTTCACTTCCAGTCACCTCCCTCATCATTTTACTCATCCCTATACCCTGTGCTGTGTCCAGTGAGCCAGGGAAGGGTTTCCTCTTGTGGCTGCCTGCTGCAGAAGGGGATATCCCATCCCTTCCCACCTCACTGCTGGGTGGCTACCAGAGCTGTCCCCTCAGCAAGCTGGGTTGGACTCTCTGTGTCCTCCCAGACACTTTTGACCAGTGACCAGCTGTACCACAGGGTAGTCTGGAAGGTCTCAGTGAGGCCATTGAAAGGTGGTTTGGCATGAATCATTGCAGCCCATCTCTTCATGCTGAGACCTCCCTCCACCCACTGTAGCAGAGCTAAGCTGCCTCCCTGCCTCCAAACAGCTATTTTTCTGCCTTCCTTTCCTTTAGGCCCTATATAGGTAGAGCTTTTTAAGGCGGAGCTTGGAGGATTCCTTACATTCACTGACCACCGTTGTACCCTCCCTTCCTAAGGGTACAACACAAGGTCAAAAAAAGGCTCTCCCTGCAAGCAGAGCTGTTCTCAGCCAGGCCTCTCAGTGGGATCAACAGCAGGGATGGGAGGATCAGCAGATCTCCTCTTTGCTGTTCATAGTGCAGCACCACTCATGGTCTGCTAGCCTGACAGGTTTGGTGAACAGGATGAACACCATACAGCGCACAGGCACTCATCCTAGGCCACACGCCTCGTTTTTATCAGATGCTATGCCTGGGTGGGAGGAAGGTGCAGACCTCTCTGTGGCACTTTGGAGCTCCTGCTTCTCTCTGGCTATGTCCTGATGTCCAGCCATGTCTCAGCTTTGGCTGAATTCACCCTCCTTAAACACTGGTGACTGGACTCATACACAGTATTCCCGTTCAGTTTTATTCTTGTTCATATCTTTACAGAAAATGGCACATAAATCACAGATGCTGGATGACTATAAGTTGTTACAGCTCCATATCTCAAACACCTCAATACTGAATTCTTTTCTCGCTGTATATACATTATTTACACACCATGGGCTACCATCTAACACGTCAAACGACCGGGGGACAAAGACAAACAGGGACTGGATGAAGGGGCTTAACCTTTGACAGAAATAAAACAGTAGCTCTGGGGAAAGGGTGCTCACAGCTGAAAGCAGGACAGAAAGGGTTGCCTGGAAGTCACTGTCCTACAGCTTTTGGGGGGACAATAGTGCCTTACCGGGATGGGAAGGTGACGGGCCCACAGAGTGGGTTTGGCTACGCGGGTCTGCATGTACTTGTCTGGGACTGGCTGGGAGATGTATGTACACGTTACAGGGTGTATCGGGGTGGATGTGCATGGCTGTCGTTCCCTTTAACACTCAGAGGGTGAGCTGGACAAATTTAATTAAATGAATACACTGGGCGGATGTTGTTGTCTCACCTGGAATAATGTATTCAGTAAACAATTTCACCGTTCAGCCCCTCTGCAGGGGTGCAGGGCTTTGGCGTTTGGGGCAGTCAGACCTGGCTGTGGTGGCTAGCCCTGCCAAAGCCAGAAACATGGGCTGGAGTCCCCTTGAGGTGCTAGGTGGGACCAGGGTGTCGTGCCCGTGGGCTAAGCCTGCCTCTCCCTACCAAATGGTGGCAAAGCTGAGCTTTAAAGCTACGACTGCTTCCCAGCAGACCAGGCAGGGAGAGACAGGCGGAAGGTGCAAATCACCCTGGATGGAGAGTCGCCATTTAATGCAAATACTGCCATGGGCTTGTCCTGTTATGGGCTGGGCCGGAGGCAGAGGTGATGGCTGGTGGAAGGTGGCAGTCTGCCTGAGGCGTGGCAGGATGGGGTGCCAGGGGAAGGGGCCCAGGCAGACTGGGGAGAGGCATGCACCAAGGAGGGGCATAGTGGCAGGGCACAGGGTTGACTCCAAGATGACAGATGGGGTCTGGGGCTGCAACAGAAGGAGAGAGCACCAGAGCTGGTTGTGAGGCCAGAGGGACCAGAGCCTCAGTGTCCACTCGGGTGTCGACAAAGACGGGACACTTCCCAGTGCCCCACAGGAAGGGTGGGGAGGTGAGGAAGGCCCAGTGGGGCAGAGGAGTGAAGGGCAGGGGGAGCAGGCGGGGGCACCCCTGCCGGGCAGCCCCAAATGCAGGGACTGGGGCCCCGCGCCCCGGTAGGGGCAGCCGGGGGAGCTGTCAGTCTGAGGGGGAATGCGGCCCCCTGAGGACACAGTGTCTCTCAGCGCTGGCTTCCACCGCCTCTTCCCCCCTCCTAGATCAGCTTCTCCTCCTTCTGCGACGAGTTCAGCTTCTCCGTCTGTCTCTCATCCTCTGCCGCTGCTGCCTCCTCCCCTGCCTCCGGCTTCCTGCCCTGGGGAGGGGTGTCCCCGGCGATGGTCCCCAGGACTTTGGTGCTGTGCTCCTGAGCTTTGGCCCTGAGGGCGGCAATGCTGTTTTCTCTCAGTTCCTCCTGCGAAATGGTGGTTTTGGGATCCGGGCCCCTCTCCTCCTTGTCACCCTTGTCAAGCTTGGGCAGGGCCTGGCGCTCCACCTCCGTCTTCCTCCCCGCCTCAGCCGCTGCCTCCAGAGACTTTTTGTGCATCCCTAAAAAGAATTGTTGGTATTCGGGTTTAGAAAAGCGCCTGGGCATGGGAAAGCCATCTTGAACTGAAAACAGCAAAGATAAAGAGAGGCCAGAATTAAGGAAAAGCAGAAACCCTCACTTCATGCAGCAGTCACAGCCAGCCACTCGCTCTGGCCCCCACGCAAGAGCAGCCCAGGCAAGGCAGCTGCCTGCTGGGGTTGCCAGCAACATCCATGGCCTCAGAGCTGCCCCCAAAGGTTTATAATTACTCTCCCCTTCATTTCTGCCTGTGAACCTAAAGCTAACTTGCCCCACATGGGAAGGCGGGTCTCAGACAGCAGCATGGTTGCCTGAGGTTCACTGAGGCTGGGGAGGGCAGTCACCCATGGTCCCGTATCAACCTGCTCCTCACACAGCCCACCCCTCTGCCTCTCTCAGTTTCCCACAGATAGAAGGACAAGACAGCCTGTATTCAAGATGTCAGACACGTTTTGTGGCAGAACAAGCCTGAAAGGTCAGAAAGAGGCAAGCAAAGAGCAAGAGGGAGGAGCTGCTACCTCCGTGTCTGCACAGAAAAACAAGTGAAACCAGGCAGAAATGCAGCTCCCCCAGGTGCAGAGAGCAGGAGGAGGCAGCAGCGTGTTCCCCCTGGGACCTGGGTCGCGGGGGGGGGGGGGGGGGGGTGGTGGTGTGTGTCTGTTTGTCCTGGCACCCAACACAGCCTCATGGGGCAGGGGAAATCAGACCAGGATGGCTTGCCTTGGACACCTTGCCCTGTCAGGGCTGGCCACAAGGGATGCTCACACCATGGGAGTCAAAGGCTAACACCAGCCTGAGCATAGGCGGCAAAATCCTGCAGGTCAGGATTCAAGACCAGAAGGGATTTGGGATGAGTGTTCAGACCCCACTGACAAGGGCAGCTGGGGGGGGTGGGGGGGTGTGTTGGAGGGTACCACCCTCCATTCATGTTTTTGACATGGCTCCAATTTCTTCCTTTCACCCCCCCCCCCACTTTGTCTGAACCCACTCACAGTCCCCCACAAAGGCGGCTGCTTCCTTACCCAGGAGCCAAGGGGCACAGGACTCCATGATGCCGTCCTTGGCAGACTTGAGGATGGACTCGGGCAGTGGGATGGAGTGACGCACCATGGCACCGTAGAGCCCATACTCAGCCATCACACTGCTTCTGCCCCAGCACTTCTCCCTCTTCCGCCATTTGGCCCGGCGGTTCTGGAACCAAACCTGGGGCAGGCAACAAGAAGGAATATAGGTTTGTGGGGGGAAAAGGTGTTTCAGACCCCTTCCTGCATGGGAACACGTGTGCTTGTGCAGGCAGACGCAGGGATGCTCATCCCAAAAGCATTGTGACCTCTTCCACCACGCAGCAGCCATTGGGTATCTCTCCCTCCCTCCCTTGAGAGCAGATCCCATCCTTCTCTGCAGGATGTAATTTGGCATGTTCTAGCAGCTTTTGGCTCTCGTGCCTGGGATTTTCTTCCATTATCTACTGGGTGTCTGAGCTACGGCGCAGGGCTGCGGGCAGTGGTGCCTGCAGGGAGGGCTGGGTTGCGGGTGAGCGCTCTGGAGAGGTGGGAGAAGGGGGAAGCTGATCTGTGTGCTTCGCCCTGAATTCCCAGTTTGAAAAGCCCCTCATCTTCTCAGAAAATTGGCAGAATAATCTCTGAGCTGTGACCTGGGGGGCAATGAGCAGAGGCGGGCGGTGATGCCGGGGGGGGGAATGCTCACAGAAATCTATTAGCGCGCTCTCTCTCTGATTTCCATTCCTCTTGTCTCCCTCACCCTCCTCCCTCCCCAGCTCCCCTCCCTTCCTGCCGAGCAGAGGCATCAGCTTTAGATGAAAAATTGCTCGAGGTCTATTCAGAAGGAGGCAAAGGAAGAGTCAGCCCCAGGGGCAGCCCGGGCCTGATTGAAAAATAAGTTAATTTCAGTTTGAATCGATGGGCCTCAGGCACTGAAATATCACGGGAAATTAAAGCAGCTGGTCCCCAGGGAACCACGCCATTGACCTGCGCTAATTAATGCCACGGAGTTACCAGGCCCTCTCGGAGAGGCAGCCCCTCCTTCCCCACGGACACCCCGAACACCTCCTCATTTAACTAATTAGACTCTCAGAAAATTGGGTGTTAATTTGCTTAGGAATTGAGCTATTTTTTTTTTGTATTTTCTATTTTTTTCCGCCCTGCCTTTCCCGGAACGCACAGGGCAGAGTGGGAACGGATGGCGGGGGCTTTCTGGCAGATGGATGCTCGGGGTCACTCCGCAATCTTCTCCAACTTGATTGCTTGATTAGGTCGTTAGCACATTAAAAAAAAAAATTGCTTGCCGTCTGGCGCTGTGCTGATGAGTGGGACGAGGCAGGAATCGCCTGGGTAATTCATCTTTTTATACTGCAAAGAATTTGATTTCCATCTGCAGATATATGGAGGTGCCTTTGACACCTGTTTAACATTACAGAGCTGACAGCTTAACCCTGTCTTGTCCCCGCCGCCCGCAGCCATGGGGGAGCTCGGGCTGCGGTGGGGAGCACTGTGGCAGACCCCCAGCTCTGCTGTGGGGACCATGGGGCTGAGGCAGTGAGGCTGTGTCCGGCTGGCAAGGCAAGCTCGCAGAGGGGAGCTGCCCAGCAAGGAAGCCTCATGAGACAGAGCTGCGGGGCAGGTGGGTGGCCTGGCCCCACAGGGAGCTGTTTAGGGTGGATGGGGTGGTGGTCCCAGTGGCTCTGATCCCAGCTTCTCGCAGCAGAAAGCACTCTGTGTGTGTCAGAGGGGATTTTACAGCCAGGCTGCTTCACCACACGTCACCTCCTCTGCATGATAAACAGTGTGATTTACACTTTCATACTGCCGAGATGTAGCCACGGATGGCTCCAATCCACAGGGGCCTGAGCAAGGACTCTCACCAGTGCAGAGCTTCCTCTCTCCGCCCGCTCCTCCATGCCCGTCTGACACATGGGTTTGCTGGATCGGCAGTCAGCAGTATGCTGGCACCCATCATCCTCTCATTCCAGACCATGAGCTCCTCCCACTCCCAGGCTCTGGAGGGCAGAGCTTGCAGGGACTGGCTCACTCGCGACACTTCCATCCTGCAAGGGGTAGCTCACCCACTAGGACCAGGAGAGGGATCCTGCCTCTTCTACCCTGGATAAACCGGTGCGATTAGGTCTCTCACCACAGAACTCCTCCCTTACCTCCTTTGGTTTCAGGAAGAAATTGCTTCACAACTCAAGAGCCAGCACCTGCAAAACTGCCTTGGTTTGGGGCTGCAGTGACACCTTTCCCTGTACCCAGAGCGGCTTGCAGGGCTCAGCTCTGCACAGCTGCTTCTGTCACCAGTTGCCACACTTGGGACCTCTGCCAGTAACAGGTTCTTCCAAGTGGGCAACTCTTAACCTCTCCTCAAGCCTCCTTTACTCGGGTGCATCTTCACTGATGCTTTAGCACCTCTCCCGTTCCTCTCCCTTCTGCCCTGATGCCCCAAGCCTCTACCCCCGAACCTCACACTCTTCTGCCCTCCTCCCTGCCCAGGCCTCAGCCTGCCCCAGCACTGGCCACTGCCACTAAACCTACTGCCATGGAGCATCCCCTTTCCCTTGGCAGGGCCGTGCAAATGCTGGAGCCAGCAGCAGCAGCTTTGCCAGCTGGCAGACCAGTTTTGACTAGAGCCAGTGGAAAATTCTCTATCAAAAACTGCTGATTCAATAGCACAGGAGAAAATGCATCTGGGCAGTGGAAGTGTAATCAAAATTATCTATGGCTTTCTTTGGAGTGCTGTATTTTAATCTTGGCGGCCTAAGACACACAAAATTTACGCTTTACAGACAAAATAGGAAAATCAGAACTACATCAACACTTCAGTAAGATTGTTCTGAGATTTCCTAAACCATTTTTTTTTTTTTTTTACCATTCAATAGGAATTTCCTCTTGTTTTTTACAAAGGAAAAGAATGCTTAAAATCCTAGAATTTCTAGAAGAACAGAAACTGGGAAGACTGACCATCTTACTTTAATAACAGGAGATGTATCGTTATCTCAGGCTTGGAGTCAAGTGAAACCAGTTGCACTCAATACTGAATGTTGCTGGGATCAGATTCCAGCCCAGCACCTCTGCCACAAGCCCATCCTGAGGAGCATGGAGAGAAGAGCTCCATCACAGCCCTGGGAGCCCCCATGCCATTTCAAATCAGCAGAATGATTCCCTGTGGCATGTTCTCAGGATTTTGTCCTCATTCAGATGGCTCCATCAGCAGGACTTTCTTCTGGGAGAAGATCTCACTGCTTTGTTTGCATTTCTTGATGTGTTACCAAAATTTTCTCATGCCTTGATTCTGAGCTGAGTTACACAACAGTTCTAGTAATTCTGGGGTATTTTTGGCTGTGTTGGTACATCAGGCACTTTCAGATATGCAGCTATTTATTACTGGCACCTCAGTTTTCCTGGAAAAGGTTTCACCCTCACATGTACTTGTGATTTTGGTATTTCCCATCTTCTTTGGCTGCTTGTTATCTCTGCTTGGAGATATCTACTCTTCAGCTTCCTCCAGCTCTGTAAAATTCAGTCTGCTTCAGGCAATGTTCAGGTTTGACCACTTTTCCTCTTGCCCTTTCCCATCACACGGATCGGCTCAGCTTTATTTTATACTTTATACCTTACTGTTGTGGCTGTTTATGATGCACCTTCCTTCTCACTTGCTTTCATCTGGCTCTCCGTTGCACAGCCCAGGGCATGGTGAAAAGATTGTGTTTGTGCTTCCACACTTCACAAGCAGTGGTGAAAACCCCTGATTAATTTAGACTGAAGCACCTCAGACGTTTGTGCAAAGCTATCAGTCTGGTGCACAGAAGTGTCTTTTGGACCAATGTGCTACCCTTAAGGTGATTTACAGCTATTTATTGTCACATAAGCACCCTCTGTGAAGCTTGTTCCAGGAACCTATCCACAAAGAATGGACAACAGAGTAAAGAGGACAGGTTTGTCTTGCTACCCACCAGACACATTAGCATCTAAGCTCAGCTCATGCATGAATGTTTGGTTTTTAGCTGCCCAAACCCCTCTCTGGGCTGCTTCTGAGGATCCACAAGTGCCGCCCTATCATTTGGCCAGAGCCGAGCATCACACACTCTAACCCCACTGGGCACATCACACTGTCACTGTTCCCTCCAAGAGCAGCCATAGTCTATGAACCAAGATAGCAACAAATGCCAGCACCCTCAGTGTCATCTCCTGGATACTTCTTTTGAGGCCCTCTTACCAAAATCAGCAGTATTGCAAAGCCTTACTAATGGGGGTATTTTTAACATTAGTCATCATCTAATTCTCACCTTCGGTGCCCACCGCCCAAAGCAGTGAAAGCTGAGGCACTCTGTGCTTGACTGCAGGGTTGCAGTGCTTCAGAGTCAAGACTGGCAAAGTTATTCTTGCCAGTTTCCTCCTCTGGATCACCAATGATAATTGATACTTCTTCAGATTATTGATGACGCAGAAGAGTGAGCTGTGTTAGGGGGAATCTCTCATTTTGCAAAGGGACATGAGACTCAATGTATCCTTATCACCCCTATTCATCATGTTAGTTTGTTTACCTAATCAGGTCCTGAAACATTGTCTGCTAAAGACAGAAATCTCCCTGAGGTTGGCCATGAGCCAGGAATCTGAATTAGCAAAGGGGTTGTTTTAAGGCATTTAGGGTGTTACTGTGTACTGTTTCAACCTAAAATTTTCACTGTTACACTAATTTTCTTGGCTGCTACTGTCCAGTCCCGGGTACACAGCCAGGAGAATTGGTAGTGGCCTTTTTTGTCTTTCTAATAAAAAAGTGTTGGAGGTTTTGTTGTGTTGTTTGTTTGTTTGTTTCCACTGCCCAAGCATTCCTTGCCTCCTATAAGGAAAATTCCAGGCTAGACAATGGGGAATTTTTGCTTCATCAATCTCACATACTGCCTTTAACACAGCATTTCAGCAGAGGTCTTTCAAGTGACAAGCTTTATGAAGCGCAAGATGGTCCCAGCCCAAAGCAGTGCATGCTGAAATGCCCACTAGATGGCCATAAGCAAATGCACGTCCATGCATGCACAGGCACCCAGCCCCACACACCTGCGGTCGCACCACCAGCGCATGTCTTTGCCAGGCTGCAGGGAGCAGCTGCACACAGCTGTTGGCAAACCAGCAACTCAGGCAAGCGGCAAAAGTCCCCCCAGCAGCAACGCTGATACCATCTCCCCTGCCCAT